AACAGATCCCAGCTAGTATATTTAGCTCCCCCCCCCCACGAGGGTTGCATGTGGCACAAGGCAGTTTTAAATGTGGGTTCTCAGAGCTCATAGGCTCGGCCAAAAATATTCCCTTTTTGAACCTGCATAAACTGGTTCATGGGCAGTCTACCTCCCTGAGACTCTGCCCTTCGGCGGAGCCTTGTCCAGGTTCCTCCCTGCCCGGAGGCACAGTTCAACTGTTTAGCTGGAACAGGTCGCAGCTAGACCCTGTAGTCCATTGGCTTACAAATATTTATAGATAATTGCTACCTATGGTGTAGTCACTCATGGGGGTGACAGGTTATTCCATTACATCAATAACCTTGTTTATTCCTTTAGAAAATTGTGCAGCTTAAATAGCTTTTAACACTGTTTTTGAATGCATTGTGAAGAATATGTTATTGCTATATGTTTTTGCCATATTTGTCTTCATATTTTGAATGCTTGCTTATGAATGAACTGATGGTATTGACAGTTCTATGAAATTAATATTTTTGGTCTGTTGTATTTCAATAGCTTATCAATAAAAATTACTAATTTTCAAAATAGCAGTGAAGTACACAATCTCGTATCACAGTAAAGGGTCTATAGTTTAAACTCGCACATACTTTTTATACCAATACATTTTCTAAATTACATTGAATAACCTTATCAAGGAAATAATTGTATTTATCAGGAAGTTTGATTTTCGGCCTGTAACAATCTGGTAAAATAGAGGGTCTGTGTAGAAGTACTGAATGTTTGTGTGGCATAGTGATCATTGGCCAACTGAGGCCATCATATTCATTTTTGCACAAATACCGTGGGGAAGAGATGAATCTTTTTCTTCCCTTTCCCAGCTATGTATTAAATAACAGGAAAGACTGAATTATCTGGCCTTGAGTGCCAGCCAGCAAGCCAATCTAGAAGGACAACTAAATTCTAAACCAGTTGGACATCTTATCTCTTAAAACTTACTCCACAGGGAACCTACAGGTTCATGGAGCAAAAGTGATGGGTGGGTTTTGAAGAGGGTTTTTTTTTTTTTTTTCTTTTTGAAAACCATATAAACTGAGGTAGTATAGTAGATTTAACAGCTATCATTAAATTTTTAGCTCTCCACTCTAAAAGATAACCTTATACCAGTTTCTTGAAACTAGTTCCTATTTTATGCATTCCACATTGATTATGCTTGTTAAAAAAGATTCTTTTATATAATCTAGTCTACAAAAGGGTAATTTTATTTGCTACTCTTTGATGGTGGATATAGTATCCTTCATGGCAGTATCAATGAAATACTTTATTACTGAATAGATTATTCAGGTCTTCAAATTTTTGTGCTGGATTACTTAATATTTTGTCCATGATTAAAGGATAGCAATTAGCATTTCTCTGAAAATCTTTTGTACCCAGTAATAGTAATATATCGATGTGAAACATGGAAACTTAGCGGAAACGGCTAGAAGGATCCATCACTTCTTGGCCTTTTGGCTGAGATTTGATCATGGCTACGACTAGCTTGGACTGACTTGGGTCTGGACCAGCTAAGACCAGCAACCAGAGTGAAAACACTCGGGTCCCCACATTAAAAACACTTTGTGTCACAACCTGACTCAGTGTCAAGTAAATAAACGACTAGAAGGATCCAAGTGTTTGAGAAAAAATGCATCAGAAAACTCCTTGGCATCTTCTATTGGGAACATAAAACCAATGAGTTTGTGTGGGAAAAGGTTGAAAGTTTTGTGGGCCACCAAGAACCTCTTCTTGTCACAGTTAAACAAAGAAAAATGGCATGGTTTGGACACGTTACAAGATATGACAGCCTATGCAGGGCACCACTGAAGGTGGACATAGAGGATACCAATGCAAAAACTGGTATGACTATACCAGAATTACTGATGGCTGCCATTGATAGACCATTGTGGAGGATTCAATATGGCTTCTGCATTCAGACCGACTTCTCCCCTCCCCCCCAATTACTAAAGTCAAGAAGATAATGATGAGTGGTAATGCATATTGCTTTATCCTGCCATTTAATCTAGATGACCTATTCAATATTTGTTTGATGTTAAACAAGTCTGACCTCATTGTATCATTTAATTGGAAATAATTATTATATTTCCAGAGTCAAACACTTTTTTGTGTGTGTGTGGGTACAAAGGGTTAAAAGAATATCAGATTTTATATTAAGTTTAGAAATATATTTATACTTTGATCACTATTTTTATAAAGATTGGGAAAAATTTCCATATATAAAATAAAAACTTGCCAAACAAAATCTTTGTCAAACTATTGTTTAACTGTTAATCCATAAAGAGCTTGTATTTAACTTTTTCACCAGTGTTTTTTTTTTTTTTTTTTCTCCTTTCTTTCTGTATCATATATACATTTTGCAAATATTCAACATTGCTATTGTTGATGTATTGTTGAACTTGTTGGTTTTCTATTTTGTCTTGTTGCACACACAAATTTTGAATTATGTACTAATTTCAATTTGCTTACTGCAGATAAATATTAATAGTTGCAAGAAAATATGTAATTTTTTTTTTTTTTTTTATTTTTTTTTTTTAACAAAAATGTTCTAATTAACCAGTATGATCTGCACTCAAGGACAATGGTTATATGTTGCTCAGTATGTATTGTTTTCTGTTAGTAAATTTGTTGGCTATAGATTACTATATCAATGCACTTGTAATAAGTTAAACAAAGGCTGTTAAAAACAAAGAATTATTTATGAAAGAAAATGGAATACTTGTGCTATCACCTATGTACTTTATAATGTCAACTGCTAATAAAACCATGTGAAAATGTTTGCACTTTTGGTAAAAATATTTATCTAAATTTAATCATAGTCATCCTCATAATGTTCAGAGCAAAAATACTATTTACTCACTCATACGCATTTAGGAATAAAAACTTTTGTGTTTTTTGACATTTTCAAATATGAATATATATATATATATATATATATATAATGTTCAAATTGAAATATTAAAGTAACAAAATGGTATTGTTAGGTGAATGTAAAAATTTCCAGTGCTCAATTTAGAAGCTTCATTGTGTGTTTGGAGGTGGGTAGAATATTACTATATCTGTATTGAATGACATGTACAAAGAAAATTTGATTATTCTTAAAATAGTTGTCTATTATTCTGTTTCTATTTCTTCTGATTCTTTCCTTTTATCCTTCCTCCTCACAAGCACCATATGTTGTCTCATTACTTGAAAGAGCCTATTCCTGGCTATTGTCTGGATTGGAATCGGAATTATCTACTTGTGGTATTGGCCTCTTTTTGACCCTAGCTTTCATAGTTTGAGGGTTAGAGGGTCCAATGCAAATCTACTCTTACCAGGAATTACGTAGAATGTGAAGCGTAAGCGTTCTCAAAGCAAATTTGTGGCTTATCGCGTTCACTACAGAATGCTATTCCATGCCAATATCGCTCAGTTACCTGTTGCATTTTCCCTTCATTGTGATATACATGAAAAATTCTTGCAGAGTTCTCTTAGGTTAGTAAAGCTTCAGATTTGTGTTTCTCTAATGTACCATCTGTACAAACATAAATGTCATTGACAGATATTACAGCATTATCATGTTTTGTTTTGTTTTTTTAATCATATGCTATAGATGTAGAAATTAGGATAAAAGGAATAAAAATATAATTTTAATTCTGTAAATTTTAACACCTTCAAAACTAAACTACTCTTTTAATTGTCCAAGAGATCCCTCTCTGAAATATTATTGGTCCTAATCTGGCATCTTGGTTTCAGTCACTTTCCAACCTCCATAAAGTTGCCTCCCTGTGTCTTTTCTATAAATACTCTCATGGTAATTGTTTAGATGATCACTTCACTCTGGTATCTAAACTTTCTGAATTTAAGCACTACTAGACTGGCATCAAAATTTCAATTTACAGTTGAGTTGGCTAGATGTAACTATAAATTCTATGTGTACAGTTTTTCTCGCACTTCTCACTTGTGGAACTCCCTTTTGGCTCTCTGCTTTCCATCCAATTTTAATCTGCAAAATTTAAATGCAATGTCAGTCACTATCTACTGTCCCCCTGATTACTCTTATGTTCTGACTCCTTACTAATGTTTGTTTCTAATTCTTCCACACCCAGTAACCTATTGTGTCTTAGTGGCTTTAACTGCCTTGCTTAGGGTGAGCTAGATTTTAAACAGAGAAAAAGTAAAAAAAAAAAAAAAAAAATCATATGCACATTTACCCCATAAAAAGTTGTACAATTACCCCCACCTTTTTAATTCATGATTCGCTAGTTACATGCCTTGACCTAACACCTTGTAATTTAATCGTAATAATTTATGAGCCTAAAAAGTGTATCCTAGAAAATTTGTTCTTAGGTAGCTTACCCTTAGCATTTCTGTCTACACATTTCTTCAAAATTTTCTTCAATGCACCACCTTCACTTTCCAAAGTCTTAGTGGTTATTTTAATTATGCATACAATTTAGATTTTAAGTTATTCAGTTATTCTTTGATGCATTCAAACTGTAAAAAGGAAAAAATATTCAAAATATATATCTTTAGGACACATTAAATTTACTTGCATGCACATTTTTCCTACTCTTACAATACCTCTTACCCATTCCTTTTTAGTAAATTTCAAGATTTTGGGCTTTTAGATATTTTGTAAGCTTCATAGACTATAATGGTTTTATATAAATTGTTACTGTTGAACAAAAATTTCTTTGAGAAATTCTACATCACTTCAAATTCTAGTAAAGATAAATACTTCTGTGTAGACCTTGGTATTTTGGAAATCTATTTAAACTGAATCCTTTTTCTAACTGAATTTTATTTTACTAAACTGTTGTTTTTTTTATTTGTCTATATTAAACATATATCAAATTTAGATAAAATAATTTTAAATTTGTTTTTCGAATGGCCTCTATTCCATTTCAGTGTAATGTTGTTAACAATGTTTTATTCATCCTTGCTAAGTTGTAGACTTATTTTTTTTATTTTTTTTTTAATAGGGTGGTACCAACAGTGGGGCAAGTGAGACAAGCACTGCTGCACCAAGTGGTACAAGGACTAGCACAAGTACTAGTGGTGCAAATGCTAATATAGGTGCCACTCCATTTGGCATTGGAAGCTTGGGTGGCCTTGCTGGTCTTGGTAATCTTGGTATGGGTTCAGCTAACTTCATGGAGATGCAACAAAGGATGCAAAGAGAGGTAAGAGAAAAATTAACCATGCTAAAATTTACTTATATATGCCCCAAGTTGTTAAAAGCTTTGCTGTTCCAAATCATTTTGTTAGATCAAAATTTTGGCAAATACTTTTTCAATGTAAAGACCATTATTCAATAGTTCTTGAAACTTGTTTGCTGTTTCCTATTTGCAATATTTCAATATAGAACTATACAGCTATCATGAAGTTTCATTTGTAAATAATAATTTTCTTGTTATAACTTGAAAATTAAAAATTGTCAAACATAAACTTGACTATATTTTGAACAGTAATTTGCACAATGCAGAATTGTCATTCTGTAAAAGTCCTCAACTCTGGATTAGAATATGACAAGATGTAAAAAGTTTTCTTGTGATGCATTTTATCCTTTAGGACTTCAGACTAAATTTGTTATCAAGGACGAAATGCATCATAAAACTTCTTCCACTTTGTCATACATTCCCCCCCCCCAATATTCTTGATAGATATATAGCACACACACACGTGCACACCTTCTACAATCATATGAAGAAGTAATGTTAACTAATTTACAAATGTGCTACTGTGGTAATCTCCCATTCTTTACAAATTGTTGGAAGGTCCAAATAGAACTGTAGATATATCCTGGCTATTGCACTTCTAACATCACAACTTTGATTAGGCACCAAAACCAGATTTAAGGGTTACCATTTAGAGGTTTACCATTTTAAGGATTGTCATTGCTGGATCTGATCAATAAGATATTGAACTCCAAATATTTTATATTAATAATTTTGAATGTAATTAAATGGGAGAAGTTTTCACTTTAAATGGGATACCAAAAAGAAAGTAATTACAATTTTGAACTAATTTGTCTTTGAGCTCCCTATGAAAAAAAATTTATTTTGGCCTCTGTATGTTCCACAAACAGCAGGTAGCTGACAGTACTCGCTTTACAAATTGACTAATACAGCACCTCACTTGTTCTTTCTACTTTCAATTCCTTGTTTCCACAAAAATATATTATGTCTTATCACTTGCTGAAGTACTTTGTTTCTAGTGGGTTTTGTATTATTTCAAACAAGTTTCTAATACCAACACCCCTGTCTCTCTCTTGTGTCTATATATATATATATATATATATATATATATATATATATATATATATATATATATATATATATATATATGTGTGTGTCGGGTTAACAAAGCTTTACTTTGTTCTTTATAATATTGCAGTTTATTCTTAATGTGTGGAAAAATTTTTTCTTTTCATTAGTTGATGCAGAATCCAGAGATGTTTCGTTCTATGATGGAAAACCCATTTGTCCAACAGATGATGTCAAATCCAGAGATTATGCGTCGCCTGATCACCAGTAACCCACAGATGAGAGAATTAATGGAAGTAAGCTTGATGGATTTCTTCACTTACCATCAACCCCATTTTATAGGGTTGCTAAGAATTTTACTTTTGTCTGTTGTTTGCTTTTTATTGAAGCAGAAAGTAAACAAACATTAAAATTCTAATGCTTTTAACATAGGTACCTCCACAAAAATTGGAATACCTAAGATTTAAATTAATTTTTAAAAATGTAAATGCTTTCATTTTAACTTTGAAAGCTACAGGAGTGAATTTACTATTTCCAATAAGCAAAATAATACTCTCTATCTCAAACAAATTATATTAAATCAATTTCTTTTTTTTTTTTCTCTCTCTCTCTCTCTCTCTCTCTCTCTGATATTTGTAAACGCAAGTTCTCGGTCTTAACAATCTTGCGAAAATATACTTTTTTGAAGCTGATTTAAAATATAATTAATCTGATTTAGAAAATATTTGCTTTACGTTTAAAATATTGCAGTAATTTTTTTAACTAAACAGTAGCTGTGTTTTTAACAGACAATAGCTGTGTTTGACAAGATGATGACTGATTGGTTGTTGTTCTACAGGGACTTTATCTGTAAAACATGATTTAAGAAAATGACATGAACACCATTTTGATATTATAGTTATCATTCTTATTTTCTGATAATGTCTGGTATGGTTGACTGTACTTAGAAAAATAAGCACATTCATACAGGAATTTAAAAAAAAAAAAATTTTAATCTTGGTGTATGATGATTTGTATTAATCTTTTCTTTTTATGATTAGTAAATATAGATTACACTTAATATAATCTAAAAGGATGAAATTAATACAGAATTTTAAGATTTAAAACTTTATAAATTATTAAAAAAATTTAAATTCTTGTAAAAATTCATTATTCATTAAAATCTTTTCTAATTAATGTCATAGTTTTATTGCATTTTCTATTTTACAATTTGAAGCAGATTTTTGGTAAATTATTTTATTTTAGGTGGGGGTGGGTCATGATTTACATTCTCCAAGGTGTTCTTTTAACTAATATAAATAAAATTTGGATCAGAATTTGATTTTCTTGTGGGAGTGACAGCTATTACAAAGAAAAAAAAAATTTCATTCATCTTTTTTAATAAGTCCTGAAAATCTCATTTAAATCCACTAATGATTTGATTTTTGCAAGAATTTCCAAAATGATGTCTTACTGTAAAAAAAAAAAAAAATGCTAAATTTACCATAGTAATCTTTGGGCCACCACTGACTCAACAAAGATATTTAACCAAAATTTTGAACTTGCTAGAAAGGATTAAAAAAAAAAAAAAGTGGAGGTACCTATTTTGACATTTAATCTCAATTTTTGATAATCTTGTGATTTATCAAGAGTAAAATGGGTTGACCTTAATAAAAAAAAAAAAATAGTGCTTGCCGTTTTAAATAAATTAATGCTTCAACTTTTTTCCATTTCTTAATTTTTAATGCATTTTTTTTTTTATTCCCCATCAGAGAAATCCTGAAATAACTCATATGTTAAATAATCCAGAGTTAATGAGGCAGGTAAGTATTAGCACAAAAAAATCTTCTGTGAGAGTTGTTGTTGTTGTTTTTTTTTTTTTGTTTTTTTTTCCCCTAAGTAAAATTATAAATTAGCCAAAAAAAACTGAAGGGGAATAATTTTTATTTTATAAACTTGGAATGAAAAGTTCTAGTATCTAAAAATAATTATAGAATTTTTTAATTTGTTACATAATAGATCATCTGGTAAATTCATAGTTAACAGCAAAAAAAAAAAAAAAAAAATTATTCCTGTATTATCAATGTTTCAGTAATTATGTAAAAAGTGTTTAAAGCATTTTTCTGATATACTAAAACTTTTTGTTTGTTTTTTTTCTTACCAGTAGATTAGTTTGATGCGGCTTCTTTATAAGGTTTAAGACTTATAAATTTTCTTTAGAGTTCAAGTACACTTTTTTCTTTTAATTTTGATTTAATTTTAGACTCTGGAACTTGCCAGAAATCCCGCTATGTTGCAGGAACTGATGAGAACTCAGGACAGAGCTATGAGTAACTTGGAGGTGAGGATTGTTTACATTAGGTATTCTCTGCTCAGTGAACTTTTTTTTTTTTTTTTTTTTTTTTTAGTAAAATTAATTAGAAAAATATTTTGTATGCAGGTATTAGCAGAGAGTACTATATCTAAAACTTCAAATTACTAGTGCACAACTGATGGGGGTAGTGTAAAAGCATCTGAATAACTTCTTGTAACAATACTTATGCTCCAACTGACTTACTCGGCAAAAAAAACAAACAAAAAGGTTTGTAAAACTGGTCAGATTTAAGTGACTGTACCTATGCACCCAAAAATAACATAACTGAAGTGTTTGCCAGAGAAGCCATGACAAGTGCTTTCAAAAAATTGGCATAAGAATTCCTGCTTAAAAATTGTTTGAATGAGAAACTTCACTGCTTGGTGAAATTTTGCAAGGAGCTATTAAGTTTCAGTAACTTGCTTTTCTTCAAGGTTTAAAAAAAAAAATAAATAAATAAAATTCTAAACTCTTTCATCAGCGCATTGTTGAGTGTCATTATTGTTATTTGTCTGCAGCAGTCTGACCTAACTATTTACATATAATTATCTAAACAGCACAACAAGCTCTTTACTGAGAAAGCAAAAGATAGTGTAGTTATTCCATTCTGAGCCAATCAAGGTCTTTTTCTGGGTTTCAATGTTATTACACATAGATTCATGTATGCATTTGAATTTGATACTCATTGATGAGAAATTATGCTTTGATCTTAATGATATTGAAGACTTATTTAAAAAATGTAAAATATCTAGTATCATCATATACTTCAGATAATTCATTCATGTTTTTTATATCTCTTAATGTTAGGACGCAGAAATTTCTCTTGTATAACATTTCAGTCAAAATTGTATTTGGTAGATTGTATTGTTTGCTATTAAAAATACAATTACAAAAAAATCAAATGTAAAAGTTTTTTGTTAACATTCTCTCTCTTGCTTTCTCTCTCCCCTTCCTTCTAATAGAGTATACCAGGTGGATTTAATGCTCTACAGCGTATGTACCGTGATATCCAAGAACCCATGATGAATGCAGCCCAAGAAGGCTTTGGTTCTAATCCATTTGCTTCTCTTGTGTCTAATGCTGCTGGTAAGTACAGTTAACTTTTAGAATGTTCAATGCTGGTTTACATAATTAATTCTTTAAACACTGCAGCTTCCTTTTGAAGGAACTAATTAAGTGATCTTTGAATTGTTTCGTTTACTTTTCTTCTTCTTTTTTTTTTTTTTTTTTTTTCTCCATCCTCCCTGCCATCACCACAGAAGTGTAAGAAATAAAATTGTCCTATTTTAAATCTGGATGTGCAATGGATTGCAACTTGGAATACGAAGTTTGGGAGCAAAGTTCAAATTCCAGTTGTGTATGTTAAATTCACTTATGCACAAAACCCTTGGGGAAGGTGTGAATCCATCAACTCTTACCACCTATGAGTTAAATGGTAGGACTTGTATCTGGAAAAGACACTGCCTTCAAATTGTTAATGCAATATTCACTCTTATAAAAAAAAAAAAAAAACTTTATTCTTAAAATGTAAAATGTTTTTGCTTTAAATAAATCACAAAAGGTAAAGCCCAAAAAAAATGTTTTTATATTTGATCAATTTTAAATCACATATACATTACTATAAGCATTTAGTGGGTTGATAGCTGCATTTTTAACATGTGTATCCACTAATCATAGCATTTATAGAAATTATGTATAAAAAATAACATTAATTTCTGATATGTGCATACATACGTACAATGTGGAGCTTTGAAAACAATTTGTAATATAACTCACTTATTCCTGTTGATTCTGCTTGAAGTATTTTTTTTTTTTTTTATTGTCCTATAGGCAACCCAGCCAGTGAGCAAGTTGGTAGAGAGAACAATGATCCTCTGCCCAATCCATGGGCTCCTAGGCCTACAGGTGGCAGTGGTGGTTCCACAGCAGGTGGAGGTAGTGGACCCACTCAGACAGACAGTACTAGTGGTGACTCTTCCACTCCTTTAACTGGCGGGCCATTTGGTAAGTTTTTATTTACTTAAAATTAGATTACCAATAATTTTATTAGATTATGACATGATTTTTTTTCAAAATAACTGCTTAAACATTTTTAAGTAAATCACTCACTGCTTTATGCAATAGTTAAACCTTATTGGCTTTCTCTATAGGTTTATATAATAAAAGCAACAGAAATACTTAATTATAAATTTGACACATATTGGCATGAATTACAATTACCAGTGTAACAATTGGAGTTCTATATAGAGAAGCTGTTAAGATTGTCATACTGAAATATAACAGATTGCGATAAGATTGTTAGAAAATCACTTTTGTCTCCCATAGTTAAAATTATCAGTTTTCAATATGATATTAAGAAAAATTTTCATAGATTAGTCTTTCAAATTATGAAATGTACAATCTTGCAATTTTCTTTTTCTTAGGTATGTTTAATACACCAGGCATGCAAAGCTTGTTAACACAAATGACACAAAACCCACAACTGATCCAAAACATGCTGCAGGCACCATATATTCAAACAATGATGCAAACCATGTCTGCCAATCCAGAAATGGCCCAGCAAGTGAGTTTCTATTTTCTCTTTCTTGTTAATGTAGTCTTTCAGCCAAAGCTTCTAAAATGTTTTGTTCAGAGTATACAAAACTCATAGTTGAAAGTGTAACAACTGAATCATTTTAGTTTCCAAAGAACACAACTTAATGTCTACTATTCAGAATAATAGTAGTGGCTCATAAACACTGCTTGATAACTCAACAAAAGGGTAATTTTCTATATCAGAAAATCAGTAACTAAGGGAGAGTATTATCTGTGCACTGAGATGCAGATGATTCAAATACTGGAGAGGTGGAGAAAGATTTGCTGTCACAAAATATTCATTATCCAAGAAGAATGACATGATTGTGTCAGAAACTGCCTGGTAATGTGACTAGCAATTTTGAACTGTTAAAAATCAGGTTTCACAAATTCATCATTTAGATCAGCCTCTTTACCAGAAGCTAAATCTAGTATAAACGTCAAAGCAAGTTAATGGACATGTAAAACTTGAAGTATCATTTCCCTGGGGACCAGACTTAGGAATCTGCACAGGCAACTGAGAATATGAAGAAATAAATCAGACTTTGTAGAAGCATAGTCTTGTTTATTTATTATGTGTATATTGTGCCTTCCCTCAATGAGGGGCAGCTCCAGTCATTACTCAAGTTTCACAATCTTCAGGTGACCAGAATGCAAATGCTAGGTCTCTCCTTCTTTGGTTTGGTTTGTGTTCTGGTCACGTGAAGAGCGTGAAATTCAAGTAGCAACTCGAACAGTCTCCTTGAGAATTGACACTGTGAGGTGTGTGTTGTTGTTGTTTGTTGTTTGTTTTTTTTTTTTTTTTTTTGCTTTATAAGGCACACTCTATTTAACTATTTCTGAGGTTCAACAGAAGTTTGCTTTTCTTGAAAATATAGTTTCTTCATATTTTTCTGTCTATATGAAGTTTTTAATGTTTTTGTTTTTTTTTATGTAAATGTCTGCTTTTATCGTTTTCTTCTGGAAAAAAATGTTTGGTGCTGAGCCCTTTAAGAGCTTTTTTTTTTTTTTTTTTTTTTTTTTTTTTCAAAATTTTCTCATGTAATATGAATGGCTCCAAAAATAAACATCCGATCAATTAATATTTTAAGTAACCTATATTTGATTTTAAGTCTTTTACAGTTGAATATTTGGCAGTTTTATTAATGGCATCTCGGCAATGGCTGAAATATTAATAAAAAAAATTTTCCCTAAAAGTTTGCCATTGAGTTCTTTGTTTAAATTAGATAAGTTAAACATTTGACTATCACTCATAATATTTTTTTTCTGTTTCATTTCCTCCTTAATAGTATTGGATAATATAGTGCTTTTGTCTATCTCTTGCTAATGGATATACTTGTGTTTTATTAGATCCTAGGAAGCAATCCTATGTTTGCTTCTAATCCGCAGTTTCAAGATATATTCTTCCAGTATCTCCCCACCATGATGAATCAGGTATGTTCATTTGCTTTAACAGATACATATGAGGAATAGATGATTGATAATGTATTTTATTTAATATAAGCAACAAAAGTCTCAAATTAAGTCATAAATGCTCAATTTTTGTATTGTGAACAAGAAAATCATCAGCTCCTTTTTTTTTTTTTTTTTTTTTTTTTTTTTAATTGCATATCATTTACTAATGCTTATGAAACTTGTTGAAATGTATAGGACTTTTGGGGATGGGAAAGGAAAATTATGGGCCTGATCAGCCTCTTATACTGATTTCCATTGTTAAATTCAACTTGAATTATTTTTAGATTCATTTATCGGGTGTTGAGATTAATCTGACTTGCCTCTGAATTTCCCTTTGGTTTGTTTAAAACTTACTAGTTCACCAATGATTTGAATACTATGGCTACAAGGATAGTGTATCAAGTGTTCACTTTAATAGACAAACTGGGTACCATATCCTTTTTAGGCTTGTATTAATACATCATTTGGTATCTCTTCATCTTGTATATTTGCTCATAATAGCTGAATTATTGAATTACTTACTCCTCAGAAGGTCTTTCTTCTGATAATCATCAAATGGATTTTGTCAGAAGTCATTTAAACCACAAATGAATTAATTGGTAAGCATAGGAAATATTGTACTACACAACAGATTGAAGCACATAACACATTCTTTTGAAAAATTACAAAGTGAATTTTATTATGTTTAAAAGATTGAGTAAATATAAATTCCTTTTGCCTACACAGCACTGGCAGGCTGTTGACAGTGTGTAATATATATATATATATATATATATATATATATATATAATTTTTCTGTATACATAGGGTGTTTTTTTTTTTTTTTTTTTTTTTTAGTAATGTCTTGTACATAAAACATTTTTGCATCACTATGCTTAAGATGCATGGCACTAATCACTCTTGGCTTTGATAAATTACTTGTTAATTTTACCAAGGTGGCCCAAAAGTTTTGCACACCAGTGTATTTGACAGGGCTTGCTGACTCAAGTCTCACAAAATATAAAATAGAATGTAGCTCAATCTTTTCATTAGTCTCTGAATTGACTAATCCAGAACAAGCAAAGAGGCAAGATTTTTCAGGCAAAAATGAGTTTCTCCCTTAAAAATTTTCTTCAGTGAGTTTTTTGTCCTGGTAGCAAGTAGATGGCCTTTTAAAAAAAAAAAAAAAAAAAGCGTTGTACCATTTATTATAAGCAAATCTTCTGCATGGTTTAGAAAAGGGAGAGAGAGAGGAATACTTGATGAATCAAGACAATGTAACTTTGGGATACTGGCTTAAGGTTAACTAATGCAATCCACTTCAGTGATGAGCATAGCCTGCGCAAGCCACAGTAGTTAATGACAATGGAACATTATTATTATTAAACACTGGACATATTTTGACTAATAGGGAAGCAGATGTTAAGTCCCTTAGTTATTTGTCTTGAAAATCAAACGAAGTTTACCAATCAAAGAAAGTTTTATATACAGGACATTTTTCTGAACAGAAGAATTTATCACGAGAAAATTCAGTAATTTTTCTTAACATGTCTACAGAATAACGTTTCCTGATAAGACTTAATGAAATCCAATTCCGGCAATGATTTGCAATTACATCAAAACAAAATATGACATAATTAAGTGTTTATAAATTTAATTCATCTTTGCTTGGGACTGAAAGTGTCTAAATATAAACAAGTAAAAGTAGGCTGGTGCTGACTGTAATGAATTGTCTCTAGAGAAATTCTTCTCTTTCCAAAGTGGTATTTATTTTAAGAGCTAAGAAAGTAGCAACTGAAATGGCAAATGTTCTTGCAAATACAATTTCAATTTTTCCGATTAATGTAATAATGTCTGCTTTCTCAGTAGTAAAAATGATTTAGAATTTTTTTTTTTCTTTTTTTTTTTTTTCATCTCTTTAAAAGCTTCAAAACCCGCAGATGCAAACATTGCTGAGTAATCCACGTGCACTTGAGGCTGTTATGCAAATTCAACAAGCACTGCAACAATTGCAAAATGAAGCCCCTGGACTTTTTCCTGGGTATAATTCTTTTTTTTTTTCTCTCTCTCTCTCTCTCTCTCTCTCTCTCATCATCTTTTTTATTATAGATTCTTATTTTCCAAATTATACTGGAGACACAATTAAGCTCTTGTGTATTTCAATGTAAACATTAAATCTCTCTAATATAAATATCAACATAATTTTCTATTTGCTTTGATAGATTTTAGTTACTTTTTTATTTCACCTATTGACTCCTGAATTAAATTAGTAAATATTAATGATTGATTTCGGGAGAGAAAAAAATTAATGCAAGTAAATTTTCTATAAATCATGTTACACCTTATGTAGAAATCATCTACAAGCATTAATTTTTATATTATGCATAATGAAAAATAATTCAAATCTTTATGTAAAAATTCTTGTTTTTGACAAACTGATTGATACCGAAAAGGAGATATACTTAGGAATGCCTTTTTTTTTCTTTTTTGTGTTTTGTTGTTTTTGCTTACCATAGACTTACTGGGCTTACAATTCCTTCAAGCACCACTACCAGCACAACTGCAACAACAACAACAACTACTGCATCATCATCAGCTGCTGCTGCTGCTACCACAGCATCAGAAACTACAACTACTGCTAGTACCACTACCACAACTAGCAGCACCACCAGTACCACTGCTACTACAGGCAGTACTGGAACTGGTGAAGGCACCACTCCTTTGACTGGAAACTCTAATCCAAATGCAGATGCCTTTAGTAACCTTATGGCCCAAATGGTACAGATGATGGCAGGTGGACAGATGGTAGGTTTCTTTTGATTTCTGTATCAGCTTTTTTTGTCTTTTATTCATAGGTTTATCTCATAATAAATTTAGAACTTGCTCTGTGCATGTGGATGATCTTATTTATCATATTGATAATATATTGACCAAGTCAAATGAAATAATCTCTGTATTTTTGTTTGAAACTGTTTTATGTGTGCTTTCTATAAAGCTCAGAATTTTTCCTTTTCTTTTAACAGGGCCAACCTCCTGAGCAACGTTTTGGCCCACAGCTGGAACAACTAGCAGCAATGGGATTTGTGGATAGAGAAGCTAATATAAGAGGTTTGATTAATTTTATGTTGTGCAGAATTTAAATTTTCTTTTTAATGATGAAATACTCGAATATATTTAAAGATAATTTAAGTTTCCTCATTTTTTCTTGATTTAAAATCTTCAATAAAATACAAATTTTTATGGATAAATTGATGTTGGAAAATGGCAAAATAGTTATTTCTACAACCTTGTTACAACTACAGCTTTAAATATGGCATAGGTAAATAGACTTTTTTTATTTTTTTTCTTAATGTAAGAGAAATTCTTTAACAGCAGAAACCTGGAAATTGTCAAATTTTGTATAGGTTGTTTGAAGATGGAATGAGACAAATTGCATGGGATTTCCACTTCCATTTGTGTACTACAAGGTTAGACAACATACTATTGAAATAAATGAAGCTGTTGTATCCTGTTAATAAGAAAAATCTTTTTTCTTAATGGGGTCCATCCAGAAAGATATTAACCTCCTGGTATGAACGTCCAGAAAAATCTTTAAATATTATCTGACTGAAGATTTCACAATAGAAGATAACAGTTCTAATAAATTCAGTAGCAGGTTCTCCAAATCTTAATTTGCTTACTATCTTGAATAGTTTAAATTGTTGAGTAATTTTTTTTTTTTGTTTTTTTTTTTTTTTTTTTTTCTTTACAAACAGATAAAATTTGAAATAATTAAGCTCTTGTTCATTTATAATTATGGCCATATAATACAGAAATATTGCTAATGTTATTGTTTAGTAGTCAGCAGCAAGTTGTCTTATTTTCTAAATTCTTTTAATTTTGCTAATTTATAAGAATTGTATGAGACTCTGGATGGGGGACAAACTTCCTGAACAATCAATTTACTCATAACAATTTATACAAACAACAATGGCAAGACTGAAATCTAACTAGTAATAAGATAACAACTTTCTGGGAAACAATATAAAATAAACTTAAAGATGATGTTCAATATGGGGGGTATAAGACAAATTTCATTATTCTTGCTTATCTTGATTTTTGCTTTAACAGCATCCATATTTATGGATGGAAAGGCTTTGGAAAATGGCCAAGTTAATTGGTTTCTGTTAACTGAGATTTTATGCTTTAATTTAATGTTAAGACACTTCATTATTCTTTCATACAGTATTTCTCACCTGGTGTGCCCAGGCACACTAATGTAGCCAGGTGTATCCCAAGTTAACAGAAGAGTAATTTATGAATTATTTCTATATTTTAAAAAAAAATTTTAAGCTAGTAACACCAAACACCACATGGCTTCCATATCTATCTGTCAAGTCTTTGTCATTTGATATTTTAAGCTGTATGTTAAATTCCCTATCCTTAATCTTTAAGTGAACAATTCTCTCTCTTTTGCCCTTCTCAAAGATTTAAATAATCAGCCTTCTTAAAACAAAACAAATTATTTACAAATCCCTTTAAATGAAAACTGTACTGATTAAATATACAATGTAATATCTTATGAATAAATGATTATTTTAGGAGACTTTTTTTTTTCTTTTCTTTTCAAATATCATGACTAATTCTTCCTTATTAAAATTTAAAGTGTGCTCCTAGAGTTTTATTTTATAAGTTTTTTTAAAAAAAAAAAAAAAGTTGAGAAACACTGCTCTAGTATTATAAAATTTGTAGTGAACTGTTAGAGAAAAATTGTTGTGATTGATGTGACATGCTGGTAGTCTGGGGCTTCTGTTAAAGAATACTTTCACTCCACTTTATCTCACTTATTGAAATAGACTGATCACTTTTCAGTGTTGCGGGATATTGAATAGTTATAAAAATCAGAAGTCTTTTTCTTTTTTAGGCCCTGTTTCCTGCTTTTGATATTGTTAACACATGAATGGAGATGTATGTATGTTGTGACATTGTCATCCCTCCTCATAGGAAAACTTAAACTACCATAGTATTCTACAATAGTAAGGTTTATTTACTTTTAACCAGTATTAATTCTTTTTCAGCTTTAACTGCTACTCTTGGTGATGTGAATGCTGCTATTGACAGATTACTTCAGCAGAGATGATCAACACCTGCACCAAGTTTTCACCATGTTCTACCACAGATTACTTCTCTTATTACAACTTACTTCAAGACAAAAAGAACCGCTGGTGATGCAAAAACTCGTGTTACCGCTACAAACAAAATGGCTAGTACCATCTCCACCAAAACATTTGTGATTACAGCAATCTCTTAAGTATACATCTTCCAATATTAGCTACAACTTGTGCAGGCAAATGTCCACTGTCTTTGGTGGTACTTCTATGCTACTGCTGTTGCAAACATCAGCTACAACAAAATATTAAACAAATCTCTTCTCTCTCTCTCTCCTCTTACTTGCCCCTCCTTCCCTCCTCTTCCCTAACCTATGACATTGTCTACATGACAGTGATTGACAACTTTAAAGAAAAACAGTTGTTTAGCTTTCTAAAGCCATTATTGGGGAAAAAAACTGTTTTTAAAAAAAGAAAGAAAAAGAAAAAAATTCAGAGGAAGCAAGTAAAACAAAGAAAACCCTCCCTTATTGTTTTTTTGTTTAGTAGTGACTACAGCTCATAGTTGGTACTACTATAAATTCAACCACTTCACATACCTACACTGACTATACTTGATGACTGTATTTGATAATGACACAATGTGTTATCTGAATAAACTTCTCTCTTTTAAAAATTAACCTGCCATGTTTCTTTGTCGGAATAATGTCATTGATCAGAGAATCTTTTTTTTTTTTTTTTTTTCTCTCTCTCTCTTCCCCTTTCTTTCTTGGTCACTCTTGATATATTAAGCAGATATCTGTTGTGTCAAGGATACTTTACAAAAATTATTTGTAATCGATTACAATAAGAATGCTGGTGATAAGTTGACTGGTTAAAGGAAAGAAGAGTCCCATGCAAACAAACGAGATGTGTAAATGAAAGAAACTGTTTATTAGCATTGAAAGAAGGAAAAGTATCATTTTGAATTTGTGTATTTTAGAAACATTTAAATTAAAATGTTAACATGCAGAGAATCTAAAATCAATATTGAATATAAACTACAGGAAAATAACGAAGTACATTGGATAATGTTCAGGCAAACAAGATAACTGATCATTATAAGAGGATATAAAAATAGTAAAATCAGCATTTTGCTTGAATGAGGAAGATAGTGTATTGATGCAAAAAACTTCTCTCTCTCTCCCTCCCTCTTAAGAATAAAAGCAAGCAATTTAAAATATAGAAAAGCTAGTTTAAAAGGTTTCATACTTTTTATTGCAAATCTTTTTAACTTAAATCTGTAACCAATATATCCCTCCAGTTCTCTTCACATTTACTCAAAGGAAACAAAAAAAGCTTCAAATATATTTTTGAACAATTTAATGTTACAGCTGTTAATTAATATTTTGACACTTAGAAATTTGTAAATTCACTAACATTTTTTGACTTAGGTTTTTACTGAGTGGATGGCTTTTTCTTTTTCTTTTCTTTTTTTCTCTCTCTCTCTCTCTCTTTCTAATAGAGGAAAAAATGTGGCTTTTATACTATCTTGCAAAAATATCAGATTGAAAAGATTTGCGTCAAAAACTTTTTCTTCCTTGTATGGAATAAAAATGTGCCATTCTGTGATATTGTTTAGTTTTAAACTTTTATTTTAAATGGTCTATTTTTACTTATATCAGCATAATACACTTTTCTTAAAGTTTTGGCAGCATTTGAAGAATAGATTGATATCATAAATTGTAAAATAAATTTCAAAACATTGTTACATGATCTGTAGAAATAGTCATGTTACAGTTTCTCTCTCTCTCTCTACCACAAAAAATCACTTTTGCTATTTGAGATTTTTAGGATATTTAAAGAGGGTGAATAATGTTGTCAAAATGTTATGAAAATTGTTCATGCAAAAATTAAACTTTTTTTTTTTGTAGGGATGAGTTTTTTCACGTGTAAATGGTGTGTTTTTGCTTTTTTTTTTTTTTTTAATCTACAGCTGTCACTAAATTAGCTTGAAACCTTTGATAATAGCTGCATACCATTTAGTATTGCAGGTTATTTTGCAGGTGGGAGGGGGTCATTTTTATCTGGGATCTAACAGTTGTTTTCTAGTGATAAGTTCACTTGAAACCAAACTGCCACCTCTGTTTTAATAATTTTGCGTTTTCTGTGAATTCTTTGTATGATATTCCATACAGTAATCCTATCTGAAATGTTTCAGCTTTTTAAAAAAAAAAAAAAATTTTAACAAATTTGACCACTGTTCTTAGAACAGTCACCTATTATAGCACCAGCCTCACCCAAGATAGATATTTATGTGTAGAAATATGTGGACCATATTGGGCCAGATATTGTATTTATTGGGCTTAACTTTAACATCCTCTGGTTATGACAAGGCAAATAACAAATAGCTTTGTGATGAGGCATAACCTTGAATATCTTTTATTGGTTTAAAGTAGTAAGTAGATATTGTAACTGCATATAAATTTTTGTGTCTTCCACACAAGGAAACTTGGTACATTGCAACCCAAGTTGTGAGGAATGGATGGATGCACTGTCATGGTTAAAGATAAAACAAAAATTGTTACATTTGTTTGTCTGACCTGGAAGAATGTCCTTGTGAACATCACTCTCATTTCATGATTAGAAAAAAAAAATAATAAATTACTTCCCGAGTTTCACTTCTCCAAACTTCCACACACTGAGTCAACTCCTCCTTATTCTATTGAGTAGCAAGTTCCGTTTATGCAGCAACCCCCAAAAAAAAACTGTCGTAACAGGGCAGTGGCCCTGGTTGAGTTGTACTCGTGCATGAAAAGTGGTTAGTGACTTGAGCTATTGAGACTTAATAATTCTGGGCAAACAATTACATATAGGAGAAAAATGTTGATTAATCAGATCTGAAGAAAAGTTTGGTTTTAAACCTATAAAATATGAATAAGGAGGGTCTTGGAAGAGCAGCATAACACTCAGCCCAACTCTATAACCCCTAAGGAAGTTGGCATGACATAACTGAGTTTGACAAAAGTTCACAGGAATTTCGGTAACTTTAAAGTTTATTTTAGCAACCTATTTGGGTTGATTTCAATGTAAATTTTGGAAGCTAAGAAATCCAGATCAAAATTGAAAAGCATTTCAAGTACAGCCAGCTGGGTTATTTAACAGGTTGTTTGAGAAGCTAATTAATTCTAATTCCCAGATGGAAATCTACATAAACATAGTATGCATGTGCCGTAATCAGTTGGATAATTACAGTTTGAGATGGTTGCTCAAAGGTCTTCAGAGTGTGTGCTTCGAGAAAACCAGTACCCCTGCTCAAACTTTGTGCATTAGATAACATCTGCCATAGAAGTTATTCATGTTGACCATGTTTGCCAAGTCTATGAATATAAAATACAGCACAGTACATAATCTGTTCAATAAAACAACGTTAAAGAATAATACTCATGAGTCAGACACTCTACTGGATCTAACTATATCGCCAATACTACCAGCAGCTGTTCCGTAATTCTTCAGTCGTGGATATCGGAGGTTGGCAGTGAATATTCAGAAAAAAAACATGGCTGCCTTTTATACACGTCGCATTGAATATTTTGAGCCTTCTGATTGGTTAAGCCTTCTATTGGTGTACTATAAAATGAGTCAACTCATTTTGGCTGGCTCACTAGTACTGGCAGACCTAACAATTCAGGGATATTAGCCCCACCTGCATTACTTAACTAATAGACATGTCTCAAGGGTAGAAAAGCAGTGATGGGGATGAAACAACCCCCAAAGATGTTGTTTGATTTCTTTGTCACACCTTTTTAGTTGTTGATGATGATATTTTTTTTTTTTTTTTTTTTTTTTTTTGACATTGTTTCTTCTGATGGCCACCTTTACAGCAAAATTTCCTGATGCTGAAGAAATAGGATATTTGAAATCCCACCCAAAACCATAGCTTGTCAAAAGTTGATAAAGAACTCTGCTGAGCACAATGAACAAAATTTACTGGACAACACCTGGAGAAGGAAATGGACCTTCACTGAAGTGTTTCTCTCTCTATCTACCCCCATCCCCTGCCAAAGCTTTTGCTTAAAAATTTAATACAGTTTTGTATCCAAAAGTAGAACAACCGTTTTTCTTCATTGTCATTGGGTACGATTTGTGCCAGCTGTAAACAAGTGACTGCAGTTGTATTTGGAATGTACCTTGTCACACACATTGCTATCAGCATTACTAAAACCTTATTGCACGCTTAACTGCTCACATCTATTGTTTGGGCTTCAGAAATGTTCAGCAATCATTGTCGAATTTCAATGGATGCAGTTTTTACTGCACAGAAAAATTTAGTGACATCTCTGCTTCATAGGTCAGATAACATTTTGCCAGGCTGCACTTTATATTTCATTTTCTTTTCTCCATCCAGATATAAGCTAAGATTTTTTTTTTCTCCACCCCCTTATAAAGAGCTTGTGATGATGGATGAAGGAAGCAGGTAGATTGTGACAGGGTTGGGGAAAAAGCTAGCCCTTTTGATAAAGAATATTTATATTGTCAAGTGTCATATTGAATTAAATTGTATCAAGTACATGTATGTGACCCATATGTGAATAATATTTTTAGTGCTTTAAGATATGCATACACATATACTGAACTCTCCTGTCATTTTCAACATATGAAGGTACAGCAACTCTGTTCTTAGAACCGAACAGCCAGTTTCCAAATGTCCCTTCCCAGGTTTTGAATTCAGTGTTGTCCTTCTAGACTGGTTGCCAGCCAAGGCTATAGGACCCTGCAATTTAACCAAAGATGGAGAGAGAAGAGAATTCCTACTTTCCTGACCCTTTTCAACACTTTCTGGAGTTCGTGCTCTGTTATGAGTTCCTCACATGTAGCTGATTCATTTGCCTCAAGATGCGGAAAGTGAATTAAGTATGTGTTGAACTGGAACAAGCTCTGATTCAAAGATTCATAATTACTACCTTGTAGTAATCAAAAATATTTCTCACAGATATTTTCATATGTAGTCAAACACCATCCATCCCATAATATGACACTAGAAATGCAATTC